TAATAATAATAATAAGATAAATTTTATGAAAGTATAGTGCTACAAGCATTTTACTATTATTTAATACTGATAATTTGAGTTTTCCAAATTCGGATAAAAAAGTTATTCAGGAAATTTCTGTGAAGAAGGTAAATGACAAATGGTTTGACGCAGAATTTCTCTCTTCAGCAACAGTGAGGCTTTTGTTATTATCACGAGAAGACGTTACCAAGAGGAGGCGATTTGTGTCTTACCTTTTAAATGTAATGTATACTATGATTCAATTCCACAAAGCAGGTTTTGAAGTAGATAAATGTGAAATGGTAGCTTCGAGAATGTTCCTTTGACTCGGGATTTATTATTTCTGTGTCTCTGGTGAGGGCACTGCACACGCTTATAAATCTGCGTGGTTTCTTTTTGTGTTTCAGTCCTTCATGTTAATGGACTCTATAACTGTTACATAAAACACTTCTATCAGCAAAGGTTTGGGAACAAACATTTACACCAAGACCGTTTAAAAGTTGGCAGCCTTGCTGAACGGTAAATAACAGTGAATAGGACAGAACATAAATACACAGATCAATTTAATAACAGATTGTCTCTAAAGAATTAAAAACAGGGTTGCCTGGACTGTCAGGGAAGACATTTCTGGGGCTCAAATCAATGCAGTCAGAGCAAGGAAGCATCATGGCTTCCGAGTACCGGGTCTGGGTTCCTTTATGTGCAAACATTTCCTTTGGTTTTTGGAATAAAAATCCACCTCTGATCAACCTTCCATTTCATGTAAGTTGCGACATGGCTTTACCTGTCCTTCCCACTTCTCACTTAGCATGCAGAAATCCAACCACAGATTCTTGGAAAGTCTGTCATCTGTGAAATCTCCATCTGATGTGGGAGTCCCCTCTGTGTGCTGTGATTACCATTAATGAATAAAGAAACTGCCTTGGCCTGTTGATAGGGCAGAACTTAGGTAGGTGGGGAGGACTGGACTGAATGCTGGGAGAAAGAAGGGAAGAGTCAGAGAGATGCTATGAAGCTACCGCCAGAGTCAGACGTGCCAAATCTTTGCCAGTAAGCCACTGACACGTGGCGATAATACAGATTAATAGAAATGGGTTAAATTAATATAGGAGTTAGCCAATAAGAAGCTCGAGCTAATGGGCAAAGCAGTGTTTTAATGAATACAGTTTCTGTGTGGTTATTTCGGATCTGGGTGGCAGGGATGAACAAGCAGCTCCTCCTACATCCATCACACTTGAACGTCATAGAAGAACGTGAACGTTTCCGATGGACTTCGATTCTTCATTTTCAGAAGTCTCTAGCAATAATTCTTTCCTTTCTCATTCTTTTTATGGGAAGCATATGCAATGTGTGTGTGTGTGTGTGTGTGTGTGCCTTGCATGCAGCAGGCATTCCACAAAAGCTAAGTACCTCCCACTTCGTGCTGTTTGGGTTACTCACTGGCAAGCTGCTCTTTAATGCTGTCCGCACACGCCAGTTTTGAAACACCTTTGACATCCTGCATCTACTCTGGCTGGTGGCTGAGAGAGCTCAGGTGTGAAGACTTCTGGGAAACCCTAAGATTGCTAAGAGCTGAACTACGTAACCAAACATGGTGTCCTGCTATTACAGTATGTGAGCTGTTATGTTATTACAGTATTTGAGCTGGGGATTGTCAGAACTTTTTTTTTCCTTTCTAGACCCAATCAACACATTTAATCATAAGCCCCTGTCAGAGTTTTTATTGCTGTGAAGAGACACCATGACCATGGCAACTCTTACAAAGAAAACATTTAATTGGTAGCTCAATTACAGTTTCAGAGTTCAGTCCATTATCATCAGGACAGGGAGTATGGCAGGGTGCAGACAGAGGTGGTGCTGGAGTTGAGAATGTTACTTTTTACATCTTGAAGGGAACAGGAAATGGCCTGAGACACTGGGCAGTATCCTGAGCATAGGAAACCTCAAAGCCTGCCCCAACACTGCCACACTTCCTCTAACAAGGTCACACATTCCCACTCCAACAAAGTCACACCTCCTAACAGTGCCACTCTTTATGAGATTATAGGGAATAATTAAACTACCACAGTCCCCAAAAGATTACAGTTATCCATGGCTCCTATCCCTAACCCACGTTTTCCCATCTATGTCCAGTTAATATGTTCTTGTCCTTTGCTATATATAACGCGTACAAATAAGATTAGTAGATCTGGATATTAACACCAAAAGGGCAAGGGGATAAGCAGTGTGGTCTAAATTGGAAAGCCAGAACCATACTTTCTTGTGTTTATCCTGAAGGGAAAAGATATTTCTTTTTTCCAAGTTCGTAGTAAGTTTGTTTGTTAATTAAAAAAATTCAGTAAACCACATCTACTAATATGTAAAAAAGCTAATATTACACATGTTGGGTGCATTTACCCAGAAATCAAAATTTGGTAACAATTTGAAAATCAAGATAATTCATCACATTATCAGAATAAGGGAAATTCAATCAGTTGCTTAACTTGATTTTCATATATGATGCCAATAAAATTCAAACTAAGTTCAGGAGCAGAACAGCAACAACAACAACAACAACAAAAAATAATAATAATAATTAGGGTTATAAAGTAGTTTTATTAATCTGATAAAAACAACATGTACCCTGAAAGAATCTTTAGCAAATATCATAATTAATGGAGAAACACAAATGCTTTCTGGGTTTGGAGCCAAGACAAGATGTGTATTTCCTAGACCTGGGTGACAAGAGAACCCAAGTTGGGTCAGTTAAACAAGAGAGCTAAATGGCCTCACAGTTTTGGAGGTTAGAGTCTGGAATCCCAATGCCCCCAGGAGGGTTCTGGGTTCGTCCTTGCCACTTAGATTTTGTGGGTATCAGTGGACCCTGGTGATTCTTGGCTTATGGAGTCAAGGTTCCAGTCTTCACTCCCATCCTCACTATACTCTTCCTTGAGGCCTGTGTTTCCCCTCTTTTCATAAGGATACCAGTCACATGACAGCAGGTACAGTCTACTCTCCATGACCTTACCTTAATGTTGATTACACTGGCAAAGATATTCCCAAATAAAGTCACATTTACGAGTACTTGGAACTTCAATGCATCATTTTTGCTTTACGTTGTATTTAATCCTTTTATATATGGGGGGCACACAAATGCCACACCCCATGTTGTACATACTCACAAAGAGATCCACACATATACATAGTTTAAGAATAAAAAAATAGAAAATTTTAAAAGAATGAGTTATCTCCACTTGGCAGCAAAATAACTTGCTAAAACACTGAAGAATTTCACAAACAAAAATCTAAGCAAAAAAAAAAAAAGTCTACTATAAGACCCGCTGGTACAAAATTGAAACTAAACTGTAAAAAGTTTAGTTTTTAAAAAAGTTTAGTTAAATTGGATAAGAAGTCAAGACTGCAACAAGTTTTGAAAGGAAAAAAAGTGTTAATAAAAGAAAGGAGGTGCATGAAAGGGTTTCTAAAGAGCCGATGGCCTTTCTAGAGAGTATTTCTTTGCCTAGGGGTGGCAGGGTTGTGGCAGAGAAATAGACACACAAATCACCTCACAAACATTGGTCAATATTCATCACCCTGTTCTAGGCAGAGGGCTAGACCTGAGTCGTCGGGGAATAGAATCAGCTACGATCCCCGTTTCTGCGGTGGCGTTTGCTTCAGATAAGAGAGACAGTGGTATGCACAGAATAAATATATACAGTCACCCAACAGGGTCTGTCTCACACAGGTATAGACTAAAACATTCTTCTGAATTTATATTTCAAAATGCAGTGTTTTGTTCTTATTCATTTGTTTGCCCCACCCCAAGAAGGAATCCCCACTGAGGAACAAGGCTACCTGTGTGAGACAGACCCTGTTGGGTGACTGTATATATTTATTCTGATTTATTTATTTATTTGTTTTGAGACAATGTTTCTCTGCATAATGGAACTTGCTTTGTAGACCAGGCAGGCTGGCCTCGAACTCACAGAAATCCACCTGCCTCCTGAATGCTGGGATCAAAAGCATGCACAACCATGCCAGCCAAAATGTAGTGCTTTAAAATAACCCTTTCTCCAGGCCCTGAAATACATATATCCTTATTGGGGAACGTCTGAGAAATAAGAAGACTACAGAGAAAACAAAGATGGTATATTTCTATCACCACGGCTATTGTAACTGTCTCCGTCCTCTCTAGTCTCATGTAGTCCAGGCTGGCCTGGAACATGCTATGTCTCCAAGGATGATGTGAATAAACTTGAATTTCTGACGTGCTAGCCTCTGCCTCTCAAGTGCTGAGATTACAGGGCTTGTGCGGCTCCATCCAGTTTATGTTGTACTAGGGATCCGGTCCACCGCTTCCAGCCTGCCAGGCAAGCACTATGCCAACTGAGCCACACACCCAGCCCTCTCACTGCCATTTTTAAAGTGCTGTTTATTTTCAGAGTTAAGATCAGATTTTCATTGTGATTTTGCAACTTGAATTTTTTTTTATTTAAAAAATGCATTGAGACTTTCTCCACGTCATTAATTTTCCTAAATGTAATTCGTAGGATTGTAACAACAACAACAATAATCCTACAGCTACTCCTCAGAGCCCAGTTTGAGTACTTGTTTTCGTAGAGAAGAACTCTTTCTGGGCCTGTGTAAGGACTACTCAGAAAACTGTGGATAAGACCACGGAGGCAATGCCCGCACAAAATGCCTCGATCTCGCTAAATTTTTCCAGAAGATTGAATCCTGCGACTCCAAAAGATCTTCAAATGACTCTGCCAAAGGTTGCAGCCCTTCCAGAAATACACGAAGGACGGAGAGGTGCTCAGGACTTCCAGGCTCCAAAGGAGTCGCGTAGCCGGCTCTTTGCGGGGCTCCATGAGCCCCGCGACCCGGCCCGGCTCTCTTTGCCCGGTGGCGTCCCCCACCAAGTCGCGCCCTCCGAGACCCCAATTCCGGCCACGGGTTTGAACTTGGGAGGAGCGCCCCCGGGTTCCCGCCCTGCCCGGATCCACCACCCTCCCTACCCAACCCGCGCAGGCGCAGGCGCCCCAGAGTCCGGCCACAGTCCGGGAGCCCAAGGTTGCGGGTGCCACCGCAGCCCCTTCCTCCGCTCACTATGATCCTGGGTCCCCGTCTGCTGCTGGCCACGGTGCTCTGCCTGGGCCTCGGCGCGCTCGTGTCTTCTTCTGGGTCCTCAGGCGTCCGAAAGCGAGGTCCCACGGTGACGGCCAAGGTGATCCTGCGGCTACTGCAACTTCTCCTGAGGTCCAGGCACCAGGGCGCTTAGGCGACCCGACCGCTATGGCAGGGCTGGAGAAGAGGGGCCCTCGGCCGGGGAACTGCGGGGAATTTGGGGCCCGGGGGGGGGCAATGCTGTCTGGGGCTGGAGGGAACTCGGGCGTAGGGACTAGAGAAGGGACTAACTGGGATTTGAGGCTGGCTGGGACTGGAGGAGGTTGGAGGGGGCCACGCGTCAAGCGGGGGGGGGGGGGACGTCTAATGGTGCAAACACTCGGGCCACTCGGGCTACAGGGCCAACTCCCACCGTCCCAGCCGCTGGTTGTCTGAACTTGTCATCCGGTCGGGTCCATCGTGAGCAGCCTGGACAAGTTCCCTTTTTGCTAGAAGGGAAGTTGCTGGAGTACTTCCTTGGAGTGGCCTGGGTGTGGAACAAAGCTGGAAGAATTTGAGGGGAGGGGACAGGCTGAGGAGGGGAGGCCGGGAGCCGGGCGCGACTAGGACGTCACTCGCTGGGGAGAGCCTGGGTCCTGGCTCAGATGAGACCCGCCTCCTCCCCTTTTTCCTACTGTCTGTCACCCTCCAAGAGGAAAGTGCAGTTTTAAATTTTGTGGTAGGCCTGGATTGAGCCCTGAGCAGGCATGACAAGGCAATAGTTGAATCTTAAGGGAATCGCGAGAAATTTAGTCCATACAGTGTCCACTGCAGAAGTTCGATTTCAGCCTGTTTTACCCGAGGATAGAAGAGAAAGAAAAGATGCTCGGAGAAAGGGAGGGAGGGGCTGCAGTGGTGGAGTAATGACCATGTCCCGGAATGGGGTGGGACCAGCAGAAAGTGGTCTTAATGACCGGCCCGGTTTGCCACTGAAAATGATACCTCAGGACTAGAAGAAGGTTTAAATCTTCCATGGCAGACTTAACCAAAGAACTAGCAAGGAGAGAGAAGTAAGTCCAGCGTCCAGTGCCACTCCCCTGAGACCCGAAAGCCAGCATGATTAGAGTAACATCCATCCTCAGGCAGCCCCTTGATCTGCTAGGTCTCTACACTGGAAAGCTGATGTGTATGTGTAAGCCACACTCACAGCTAGCGCAGACTTATTCGGTCTGCAGATACTATTTCAGATAAAACCGCAAACATAAAATACATATGAACTATGAGATGTTGAAGGCAGTGAACCTAATATAGGTTGGGCACCATGTAAAAACACCTGAGTGGTGAAGAAAAACCAATCTGGCAAAGGTTGAGGTGCCCACGGGAATTGCTTGTGCAAAGGTCTCCGAGGGGGAAATCCTTTCTTGGCTCAGAGCATGCTGCAAGGACAGTTTTTTTTTTTTGTGTGTGTGTGGGGGGGGGAGGGGGGGACTGAGGGCAAAATGACCGGGTCATGAGCTTGGATGAGTGAGTAAGAGAAAGGCTTCAATAGCCTGAGAAGGAATGTCTTACTCTAGGGCAGTGGTTCTCAACCTTCCTAACGCTGCAACCCTTTAACACAGGTCTTCATGCTGGGGTGACCTCCACCCATAACATTAATTTCATTGCAACTTTGTAACCGTAATTTTGCTACTGCTATGAATTGTAATGTAAATATCTGATATGCGACCCCTGTGAGAATGTCATTTGACACCTCCTTCCAAAGGGTCATGATCCACAGGTTTCAAATCACTGCTCTTAGGTAAAGTGGCGGGTGGGGATCACACACAGAAATGGCATAATTGCATATATGCTCTAAATTTCTATGATCACTTTGGAGGGTGAACAGAGACGCCATTCGGGGCTCCGTGCTAGACTCCAGATGGCGGCTTGGATCAGGGTGATAATCTAGGGGTGTAGGGTAGTGAGGTAAAGAGACTGATGCCCAAGTAGATGTGCACTTCAGATTAACAAGGGATGATTGTCCAGTGCATGTCTCTGTGATGCTGGGAGCATTTCACCCAGAGAGCCACTTAGAGCAAGGCCATGGCGGTCTTTGCCACAGTGCCTGGCTACTTTGACATCTCCCGGGCAGCCAGTGGAATAGAAGAAAGCCTGCACAAGAAAAAAACCCATGGCTGCAGGGCATGTGGGACCATCCTGACATCTACAGCACTGTCACTGGGACTTGGGCTCTACTTTCAGGACGGTCACCTATTTTTTTCTTTTTTACCAAGCTTCCTGAGCTCTGACGGACAGGGGTGTGTATGTAGGTGAACCTCACACTGATCACTACATTAATCGGAACTCTTGAGTTCCTTTTATAATACCTTAGAATGATTCAGTATAATAGAAAATAGAGACATTAGAAAAGAAATGTAGGCTAGCAGGCTGTGTCTATCCTATGTTGTTTCGCCCATGGTCCTTTCTCTCACTATGACTTTATTTACAGCTAGGAATCTGTAAGAGGCGTGCGGTGCTGCCCCCACGCCCCACCCCCACACAGTGGGAAATGTGCCTCCATTTCGGTCCTTACAGTCTCCTGTCTCGCTGGTGCTCTGGTGTGGACTCTGGATTCTCCGCTCAGAATACACCTTCCAGGGGATGCCATGGGGGTTTCTGCACAAGCCAGCACAGAGTGCATAAAAATGACACTGCCCTCTTTCCCATTTTTAATCATGTCGGGAAGTAGTGGTCATGGGATGCTGCTGGCCAAGGCACTTTGGGCAAGTTATCTACTGTCTGAGACTTTGTTTCTTCTGTAGAAAGTATACAGAAATGATAACTCTTCATTATTATGTATATATTTGGAGGGTACGTATCTCCCTGCATATTATGGACTTTTGCAGATGAAGTGTGATAAAGTAGGTAAGTGTCTATCTAGTTTGTGGTCCCTCATTTGTGAGGTCACTTTTCAGTGTTGTTCATCCCTGAATCCTAGTGCGACAGCCCAAGCTAGAAAGCAATTGCCACCCATCTAATAGATGAGGTATACAGCTCAATTTTAACTTAGTGAAGGTCCCATGGCCATTTAGTAGTAGAATTGGCTTTAACCATTTCAAACTTGGTGTCTTCTTGGGTGAATCTGAAAGTAGATCTACACAGGATTGCTCCTACAGGCACTTGGTCAGGCTTTGGGAGCCCCCATCCCTCCTTAAACCGTCAGTGTCCCATAATTTTCAAATGACTTTCAGGGCAGCACCCAGGAATAAGAAGTGTCTGCGGCGCCTACCCACTAAGTATGGCGTGGGAACCAAGTGCCAACTTTTCCAAGGAGCCCACTCTAGTCCCTACCCTGCCACCAACCTTCCTCCTTTCCCATGAGACTTCATCTGATTTGCCTTATAAGGACCGGTTTCCTATTTAAAAACAAAACAAAATCCCACATCATTTCTATGTGTGTTTTCTCTTTCTTGGGGAGAGGGAGCTTTGTAGTTCTTCCTCATCCAGCTTGGATTATATTCCTAAAAGGGCTTCAGCAAAGTCAGAGACAAGTCCCGTGGAAGGAGAGGTTTGCCTGCCTGGCACCTAGCTCCCCTCCTGTGTGGTGACACTGAGTTATCCAGTGGTCTATGCTTGTCTGCTTTCTGTTGGCATCGAACTGAGATCTGAGAGTCAGAAAGGACAGCTTCTATTCTGGAGGTGCTCTAACGAGAGGTCACAGATTAATAAGAGGGGACCTTGATTTGAACTTCTAATGCTCACATTCCTAGCTGCAAAGCCCAGCCCAGGCCGGTCAGCCTCCCTCCTCCCCCACTGTCCTCATCTTTGAATTAGTGATAACAGGTGGGCTGGGGATTAATTACACGAGGTGGTAAGGCACACGGAGATGCCTCTCAGCCAGCCTTCCGGTTCCGGAGACCCTCACTCTTGAGCTGCTATGGAATGTCCAGGTTCTCTTTGGGCTCCATGTGGGGCCCCTTCCCAAAGCCTCGCTCAGGCAAAGCAGGACCCCTGAGAGAAGCATCTGTCCGCAGCCCCACAGAACTGGCACGGAACCTGCCCCAGCCCTGATGCTCGGCAGACGTGGGTCTTGCCTGGCTGTCCTGGCTCCAGGAAGGAGTGCCAGCTGAGGTCTATGCCCAGTCTTGTCCCTGAGCCCGCTGCCTCCTTCCATGCTTTTCTCCCCGTCCTCCGTGGTGCCCTCTCTCAACCCGTCCTGCGCTCCAGATCTTCATAGACAGTGTTCTTGGGCATAGCTCACATGCTGTCTTGTGCCAACTGTAGTCATTTTTTTTTTACTTTTCTTTTTTTAAATTTTTATTTTGAGACCCGGAACTTGCTGGCCTCAACCTCACACAGATCTCTCCCTCCGCCTCTCACTGCACCGTGTATCCCGTTTCTTAGCTGCTGCGTTAAGACAGCTTGTGCAGAGGCATTGCCTTGCAGGGAGGTATTTAATAGCTATTTGTTGGCTAGACAAGCTGGGAATCCGCCATTTCCATTAGAGTTGGGAGCACTCGGATGTGATTCCTTTTAGTGTCCTCGTGGAGTCGAAGGGCAGGACAATTGAGAAAAAAAATTAAGAGACATATGAATGGAGCCGTGTGTGAAAATGGGATTCTCAGTGCAGATATGGGTAATGGGTTCTTCATCCCCTGCAGCTGCCTTCCTTGCTGCTTTCTAAGAATTTGGTCCCGTATTTTAAAAGTCGGGAAGGCTTTGCATGTGTCTTTTTGGTTGTCTCTTCAAAATTACACCCCTGGATCTCTGGCAGGGCTGTTCTGTTATTGCCCACATTCCTTTCTCACCGGGGCAGGGAAACCCCTTGGAGAAACCACTTCTCACTGCCAGCCTCACCTGTGCTGAGGCGGCCTTTTGTCCCCAAGCGACACCGGTGGTTCTCTTCTGCCATACCTCACACGAAGAGCCAAGTCTTCAATGCTTTCAGGAAAGCTCTTGTATATGAATATAATAAAACGGTGGCTGTTTTGGCCACGTGGAAATGTCAATGCCACACAAAGCACGAAATATCACATCAGCCTGTGACAGGCCTTCTGATATATTGGCAGGAGCCCTTGCCTTGAGCTGGGTTTGACAGTCTTTACCTAGTGATTTTTCTAGATTTGCAAGGCGTCTTTTTTCTTTGACAACCCTTCTAATATTTTTTAAAGCCATCCCTTGAATGTCTTTTTTTTTACCCATTCAAACAGTAAATTGGCTCGTATAATCTAAACTTGCTAATGGAATGACCTTTGACTCTGTGGCCTTTTCAAGCCTCCTGTCTCCAAATCATCAGAACATAGTGATTTGTGAAGCCAAGTGTGTGTAATTTCCTTCCAGGTCAAACGGTTTTGAAAAAGAACTCCAAGAGAACTTTTAAGGTTTAATCTGGAAAAAAAAAAAAAGGGACGTGTGCACTTCTAGCTGTGTTATCTTTCTTTGTTCTAAGATGACAGCGGAAGAACAAATTCTACTTGGGTGACCACGGGAACTGGACACCCGAATCCAGTGTTGAAGTTTATAGGACAATAGCTTTGTAGGTTGCCTGTCCTGCTGGGGACCTGGTGTCTTGCTGCTCTTGGATGTGAGTGGCAAGCCCGCCGAAGGACTGCTGCTGTGTTTCATGGTCTTTGGCCGTTCCCTTGACAGCAGATGTCTACTAAGGACTCATCAGTGTTCAAAATGACAAAAGATGAATTTGGATAGCTAGGCTTCGGCTCCTCTTAGTGATTTTTTCCCCCTGCCAAGAATAAAAAGAAGAGCAATATTCTCTGTTCTAATCTTCATCCACAAAGCAGGAAGGGGGGAAAGCAGAGCTGTGCTTTGCTAAGGGGAAATGTCGAGAGGAATAATGGCCTGAAGACTTTGCAAGCTAACTCTGGCCATACTGAATCAAGCTTTCTCAGTCCTTGGCTCATGCTCTACTCATAGGTGGTGCCCAGTAAATGTTTGTTGAGTGAATCTTTGGGAACGATCTGCTTGCACAGTGTTGTGTGAGCGCTGCTAACTGGCCGCAGGCTTCGTGACTCTCACAGGACACTGATGGACAGGCCAATTTTAAGATTTAATTTTGACTTAGCTCAAACTTCTGTCTTTTTCATGTGGTGACTTTCTACTCTGCATCTCAATTTCCCACAGGTCTTCTTTGATGTGAAGATTGGAGACAAAGATGTGGGTAGAATTGTGATTGGCCTCTTTGGAAAAGTGGTACCCAAGACGGTGGAGAACTTTGTGGCTCTGGCAACAGGAGAGGTCTGTCCCAGCCTTATTGACTGTAACTGAGCACAAGTGTGGATCTTCCTTTAGACAAGATGCAATGATGTCTTCCAGAAAAATGAGGATTAATATATCAGATGAGTGTGTGACACCTTAGACTTTTGTTTCCTTATAATTATTCAACCACTCAGTGTCCTTAGGCTTCTAGAAAATGAGAGTAGAAAACACCAGGTTAAAGTACTGACTGCTCCTTTTCTACTTATTCCCATTTGAAGTTGATTCCTATATTTCACTTATTTTGGACAGCTAATGATAAACTTTCCTTTGTATATAATTGCTAGAACAGAGGCAAGTTCTGTAGATGTTTTGCTCAGATGGTCTCGCTTTCAGATAAGCACTATTCATCTTTCACTGAGGGTTATTATTTCTACTTGTGTATTCAACTGCAACCATCTCTTTAGAAAGGCTACGGGTATAAAGGAAGCATCTTCCATCGCGTCATCAAGGACTTCATGATTCAAGGAGGGGACTTCACGGCTAGAGATGGCACCGGAGGTAACATGGTCTTCCTCTTTCTCCTTTCCCATTTACCAAGCTGGAACCTAAGCTCATAATTGGGAACCTCACAATTATGGTACGAAAACATAAGCCCATTCCAGTCCTTTGTTTTCTTTCTTTCTTCTTTGCTTGTTTCTGTTTTGTTCTGTTTTGGGGATAGGGTTTTTCTGTGTAGCTTTGGCCGTCCTGGAATGTACTCTGCAGACCAGGCTCACCTCTAACTCAGAGATCTGCCTGTCTCTGCCTCTTGAGTGCTAGGATTAAAGGCATACGTCACGGTGCCAGACTCCCACTCCGGGTCTTTAGGGAGGTTGGAGTTGTAGAGCCCTAGCACCAGAATCCTAGCAGATATGAACAAGGGAGGTGCTCCTGAGGCTGAGCAGGATGACTTGATTTTCATGGTCTTTACACAGTAGAGAGAGAGTCATTTAGCAGGACACTTTGCAGGCATTAAAAAGATCTTTCTCTCAGGATAGAGGATAGACAAATGTTTGCCACAGAGAGGGAGAAGTGAAGCAGAGGCATGCCTGCACTGCTGTGGCAGCCAGCAGCCGGTGTGGGTGTGGAGGAGAAGGGGCCAGAAGGACAGCCGTGGCATGTGGGCGGTAGATGGTGGTGAATTTTTGCCTCTTCTATCAAAATTACTTTCTTTTATTGTTGGTCCTTTTAAGAATGAAAGAAATGTTGAAGTCGTAGCTGAGCCATCAATAAATATAATGCAAACTAAGTTTTATAAGCAAAGTTCAACAAAAGACAAATACTTTTGTTTTTAGTCTCAAACTACACTGTTATCTCTCCAAGGGTCATCATCGGCTCCTTCCGGGGAGTGTTTTCCCTCCAGTGAGCACATCCATCCATGCATCTAGACAGAACTTAAATCTACTTCAGAATTAAATGCTGGATTTGGTAGATACTAGTGGATGACATTTCAAAGAAGCATTTAGGCTATTTTTCAGGTATTATTTTGAACTTTACTTTTTTTTTTTTTTTGCAATGGCTTATTTTTTTTTTTTTTTTAAAGTATTGCCATTTAACTCTTCGATTTGCCATACACATTTAGGAGGTTGAGCTTTAGTTCTTGTAAAAATTCAAAGGCCGGGGATGTAGCTCAGTGGTAGAGCACTTGCCTGGCACGCACGAGGCCTCGAGTTCAGTCAATCACCAGCATCACAGAAGAAGGAAAAAAATCTTATCAAATTGGCACAGGATGTGACGCGCACTCAGGTTCCTCCAGGCTAAGATCTGCTGAGAACCATGCCGAGGAGCACCCAGCTGCTGCAACACCTGCTCTCGGGCAGCTCTGCAGCTGGCTTCAGCACTGGTGCTCCCACTCCGCACCCGCCTCTGACCAGCGGTCAGCAGGAACAGTGACCCTCTTTTCTATCTTATGCTATTCTTTGCCTTCCCTGCATGTGTGTGTGTGGGGGGCGGTGTCTTAGATTAAAATTTTCTGAGTTTGGAAGAGAGGAAATTTTGGACCATTTAGCCTAGGCCTTCCTGTGGGCAGAGCTATCTTCAAGCCTTCTCCTATGTCCTAGCCAATCAGCTTTAAAATTCTCGGTTTTAATTCCACCTCTGTTACTTCTCGCTGAGGCAGGATTTTGAGGTTGACAATCACTGGACAAACAGACCGTTGGAAGAAGCGGTAGGCAGGACAGGCCCTTGGGTGACAGAGACAAGGGAGCAGTAGGCTTACAGTCAGAGAGCCAGACGTGGCAATTCTGCTCTGATATTTTCTGATATTTGCCCGTTTTTTTTTTTTTCTCTTTCCCAGCAAAAACCTGGCCTAAGAAAGTCTGTTCTGCGAGGCTGTTGTGGGGTTAAACCAATGTATGCACTCAGTGCTTAGTTACCTGGTTGGGTGCGGACATGGGAGCAGAACCACCAGGATGGCTCAGCCACCTTTCTATCCTGCTTTCAGATGCCATCTTCCCTTCAAAATAAAATCACTGACTTATTCTGGTAAATTTTTGGCTTGAGGCCCCAGGTACTTTCATCTTATGCCGTATAAAGGGCCTCCTTTGGTTGAGTTCAGACCCTGGTGCCTATTTCCTTAATGGTCGCTTTTATCCTACCCATTCACTTCGTGGGCTTGCCTATCCTCATTCCTATCACCTGTGGGATGCCATTAACTGATCACACGAACAACCTAAGTTTCTCTGAAGGGTTTGCTTCTAACATTTGCTCTTGTCCCTTCTTGCTTGGCCTCCCCCAGGGGTGAGCATCTATGGTGAGACCTTTCCTGATGAGAACTTCAAACTGAAGCACTATGGGATTGGATGGGTCAGCATGGCCAATGCTGGCCCTGACACCAATGGCTCCCAGTTCTTCATCACCTTGACTAAGCCCACCTGGTTGGATGGCAAGCATGTTGTATTTGGAAAAGTCCTGGATGGGATGGTAATTTGATATATCCTTTTTTTCCCTCTTTTATAAAGCTTTATATTTAAATATGAGGAGACCTTCAGTAATTCATTGAATCTTCAAATGTGTTATTAGATAGCCTTTTATGGTAACTAGAGTTTTTGTTGTTGTTGTTGTTTTATTGTTGCTCTTTTGGGGGGGCGGGGCTCAGAACAGGGTTTCTCTGTAGCCTTGGCTTTCCTGGAACTTGCTCTGTAGACCAGGCTGGCCTCGAACTCACAGAGATCCGCTTGCCTCTGCTTCCTAAGTGCTGGGATTAAAGGCGTGCACCACCCACTGCCTGGCTGTGACTAGAGTTTTTGAAGGTGAACAAGTTACATATGGCATGGAATTTTAATTGCTAGAGGCATTAAAGCAGACAGTGAAGAAGTTAGGTACTTCCGTTAATTTAAGAAATGCAACCAAATAAACCAGGGACCAAATATGCATCCAATGAAATATTATTTGATATTAAAAAGAACATTTAAATGCATGCTGTAACAACCATATATGTGTGTGTGTGTGTGTGTGTGTGATCTTTCTGTTAGTCAATCAATCTATCTATTCACACACAATTTGAAAGAAGACAAATGTGTATGAGTTTAATTATATGAGATATTTAGAGTAGTCATGTCTATAAGACTAGAAAAAAAACTGACAGCTGTCAGGAGTGGGGAAAGAGAGGTATTTAATGAATATAGAGTCCAGTTTTGCAAGCTGACAAAGCTTCTGGCTGCATGCATATAACCACTACTGAGCTATGTCTTCGTTTTGGGACTTTTCTTGGAAAGATATGGACAAACATCTGTTCACTCTAGATAGATCACTGATGACAAACCAATGAAGTGACTCTACCAAAGTCCAGCTTGGTGAACCAACGAGTTTATTGGGGTTTCTTATAGCAGTCTAGGGGTGAGATTACTTACAGGAACATGGTTGATGCAAAGGCAGTTCCATCATTGAAAAACTCATCGCAGCATGGATGGCTACCTAAAAAAGCTACAATCTTGGAGTTCTATGCATGCCCCTCAGCAATTCAACTGCCCCCTTTGCCCATGGAAATCTTTATTCCTTATATAACTTGGGGGAGGTACCTTGTGAATTTTGTAAATTTCAGGGACTTTCTGAGAGTTGTGAATTGTTTATTCCTGAATCTTAAGAAGCCTACCTTTAGCTATGGACAGAATCATGAGTTCAGGAATTTTTTTTTTTCAAGACAGGGTTTCTCTGTAGCCTTGACTGTCTTGGAACTCACTCAGACAAGGCTGGCTTCAAATCCAGAGATCCTCTGCCTCTGGAGTGCTGGGATAAAATGCTTGTGACACAACTACATGGCTCAGGATTTTTTAAAAAAAATATTTGTTGATTTACTTATTACTGAGACAAGTTTTGCTTTTAGCTGAGGGTGAGCGCCGCCGTAACAGGTTGAAGAGGTACAATGGGTCAAACCCAGCCCTTCCTATATGTTCAGTAAGTACTCTAGCAACCGAGCCACATCCCCAGCCCTGGGACATCAACCTGTTACGGCGGCGCTCATCGGTCATCCCAGCATTTGGGAGGTGAGAGCAGGACTATCAAAAGATCAAGGTCACCCTCAGCTATGTCCTGTCCTGAGCTCTAGGCCAGCCTGATAGTCGAGACCCTGTCTCAAAAAGAGCAATAGCAACAAACATCTCCCATTTGCACTTCTGGAGTTGGACTGGCTATCCCTGTGAATTGTCATAGCCGCTGACCCCAGATGAGCCACACCTCTGTTTTTCTCTTTCCAGACTGTGGTACACTCCATAGAACTTCAAGCCACGGATGACCATGACCGCCCGCTCACTGACTGCACCATCGTGAACAGTGGCAAGATAGATGTGAAGACGCCCTTTGTGGTCGAGGTTCCTGACTGGTGACAGAAATGTCGGAAAACAGGGAACACACTTTGGCTGGTCCGTGTGTGCATCTGCTAGCTGCTACCTGTCTTTTGACTCTTTAGTTGCTTAAAGTTGTGCTCTTTTATCTCCCAGTTCAGATTGCAACAAAAATTTAAAAATCAACCACACAGCCAGATGTCCTGGCAAACACCTGTAACCCCAGCATTTGGGAGGTGGAGGCAGGAGGATTAGGGATTCAGGGCCAGTCTTTGCTAAATAGTGAGTTTGAAGCTAGTCTAGTCTAGTTCTGTTTCAAAAACACCATGCCAACAACTATAAAAATCAACCAACATTTATTGTGCATGGATTTTGGCATATCATCCACTCAGGTGCTATAAACTGAAACAACATATCCTTTGTTTTCAATGGTGCTATGCTTAAATCAAAAAAACTTTGTATTGGCTATTTATTTTTCAGAACATGGTTGCTTATTTGTTTAGTTCCACTCATTTCCTTGTAATCTCCATGTTCAGTGATCTGGAAGTTTGTTTGAGAAAGGTAGCTACAGTGACACTTAGCATTCTTCATTCAAATAATTCTTGACAGGTAAAGGGAAACTTGAGGAATATCACATGTTGTATGTCATCGGCATTTTTGTGCTGTGATGTTCTTTATATTAAATGCTTTTTATATAAATTGGCTCTTTTGTAAGACTTTTGTTTTTCAATTTTTTTATATGATGGATGTTTTGTTTTCATGTATGTCTGTGTAGCATGTGTATGCAGTACCAATGAAGTCTAGAAGAGGCTACTAGATCCCCTGCCTGGTGCTGGAGTTATAGACAGTTTTAGAGCCTGCCTGAGCTGCCATATGTATGTAGAAATTGAACCTGGGCCCTTTGGAAGAGCACTGCAGATGGGGCACAGAACCTACATCCCAAACACAGAAGCTAATCATTCACTAATTTTTACTTAACATTTAGGCCAGTGGTTCTCAGTCTTCCTAATGCTGCAACCCTTTCATACAGTTCCCCACACTGTGGTGACCCCCAACCATAACATTGTTTCATTGCTAAAAAAACCTCTAATTTTGCTACTGTTATGAATCATAATGTAAATATTCAGTATATGACTCTCCTGTGGGAGGTCATGGCACAAAGGTTGGAAAAAATCACTGGTTTAGACTTGTCTGGAGTCCAGTTGCTATGGAATCTTAGTTGGTAGTGTGAGTCTAGATTCAGGCTCTATTTAATGAAATTAGACAGTATAGTCTTAGGGCTGTGTGATGTCTGAGGCCAAGCTCTGGTTAGATGGAAACAGAATCCTGCCAGGCAGTGAGGAGACAAGGGGGTTTCCCACCCAACCCTTGCAACACACACATCACCTTCATCTCCCTCATCTCTCTTTATGCTTGCTGAACTTCTATCCTCTCCACTAGAATGCCAACTGCATGAGACCATTTCTCTTTGTCCATTGTCATATCCCAAAGGTCAAACTAAGATCTGACACAGTCTTCCCCTGACTCCACCTCCTTTCTTCCAGCATTCAGTTTAGTTTTCCCCACCTAGCTCTGTTCCCCTATAGCTCTGCTATAGGCCCATAGCAGTTCCTTTATCAGTAGTAATCACAACATACAGAGGGAAATCCCACATCAGAAGGGGTGTAGGATGAGGTGAAGCAAGACAATACTAAGCATGACCAACTTGGACATGGGTGTTAGGGGGGAATTAGTTGATTCCCAGTACAATGGAACTGTAAGGTTTGTGGAAAGGGAAATGATGGGATATGCATTTCAGGAAAATTGCTTTGTCTACTATAGGATTAAAATGGAAAATTGGAAGAAATAAGTACCAAGAAACTAAAACATACACATCCTATGTGTCCTCTCTTCTGAGATTTGACATCAAAAGCAATCTTAGTCATAATGAACCCCACTATTTTGGTCAGACCAGCATCCTTGATCCTTGCAGCAATGGCTGCGCTATTTCTTATTTTCTTTCCTTTGGGGAACTGCACTGTTCCCCCAACTACTTCTTCAGATGGGTTAACCCTTCAGATGGGTATATGCCTGCCTAGCAATGTCTTCCATCATTAACTACAAGAAAGACCTATTTTAAAAAAGTTCTCTTAGTCAGTGGTTCTCAACCTGTGGGTTGAAACCCCCTTGGGGGTCACATATCAGATATCCTGCATATCAGACATTTACAATATGACTTATAATTAACAAAATTATGAAGTAGAAACACAAATAATTTTATGATTGGGGGTCATCACAATATAAGGGGTCACAGCATTAGGAAGGCTGAGACATACCACATGAATATACAGCAGACCATCAGGCACCAATACTTCTGTGACAGAAAACAGTGAAAGGTGGGAAGTGGACATGGAATGCAGGGTGGTTGGGATCAACATGAGTGGGGACTGAAGACAGTGATGGGGAAGCAAACCAGTAGGGACAGAGGGGTCAAGCAGTGTCAGTGTCCCCCAGCGAAGGACATGCAGATGGATCTAATAACTATCACAGGCTGCAATATAGTACCCAATAGCTTGGTACTCGCCCTGACTAGTTTTATGTCAATCTGACCAAAGCTAAAGCCATCAGAGAGGAGGGAGCCTCAACTGGGAAGGTGCCTCAATAAGACTGGCCTATAGGCAGGCCTGGGGGAGGGTCCAGCACATTGTGGGTAGTGCTGCCCATGGGTTGGTGATCCTGGGTTCTGTAAGAAAGCAGGCTAAGCAAAGTCATGAGAAGCAAGCCAGGAAGCAGCACCCTCCATGGCTTCTGCATCAGCTACTGCCTCAGGGTTTCTGCCTCACTTGAGCTCCTGTTCTGACTTCTTTGGATGAACAGTGACATGGAAGTGTAAAGCCATATAAACCCTTTCCTCCCCAAGCTGCTTTGGCCATGGTGTTTTGTCAAAGCAATAGAAACCCTAGGACAGTGCTGTCCCTCAGCCTGGCCCAATGAATGTTTCATGTCTGGAGCTTGGCCTCAGTTGTACTAATCCGTCTCCACTGTGGGACATCAGCTGGAGTGTGAATAGAGCAGCTGTCTTTGTGCAGTGGATGCAATGGAGTAAGACTGAGAATAAAATTATCAGGGAAAGGCTGGTGCAGAGGAAAAAAAAAGATGAATTCCTAAATGCAACATGAAAGCAAAAGGAGAGATTGTGTGGGGTGGAGGAAGAGCAGGGGACAAAGGCGGTGAAGGGGGAATAAAAACAGTATAATTATATAGGTGTGTATACATATATATATGTGCACATATATAAGCAATATAATTGTGTATGTATAATTATATTGTGTATGTATGTATAAGGTATATGGAAATGGGACAATGAAGCTTGTTACTTTGTATGCTAAATTTAAAGCGTTAATGAAGAGAATGAGAAAACACAGGTTCCTGAAGACATCACTTAGCTTCTGTGTCCAGTTATGCTTGAATTTAATTTATCCCTTGCTTTTTGCCACCAAGTCAATACATCTCCTTTTCCCCTTAAGTCAAGGTAAATTGATTTCCTTTGACATACAACCTGAACTCATTGTCTAATAGAGAGACAGCAAAAACATTTTATGCACAAGGACTTAGAAGTAACTAAAGGAAAATACTGGAAGGAACTTTAATGCCCAAATCTTTATAAAGTATATAGCACATAACAAAATGATATCATTCATTAAGACTGGAATTAATGGTGGGTTTATTATTTTATTTATTTATTCTTGAGACAAGATACCATGCATCTTAGGCTAACCTTGAAATTAGAGCTGAGGATGGCCTTGAACTTCTGATCTTCCTGCCTCCACCTCCCAAATGCTGTTAGATCTATATCAGTTTATGCAGTGCTGGGGATTAAACCCCAGGCTTAGTGAACATTAGGCAAACACTCTACCAATTAAGTTACATCTCCGGCCCTGTACTGAGGGCTTTAAAAGCAGAACTCCTGGCTGGCAAGATGGTTCTGTGGATACAGGCATCTACTGCTAGTCCTGAGTTCAATCTTCTTCGACCTACACAGTGGAAGAAGAGAACTGACCTTCAAAAGTTATCCTTCGACCTCCAGATGTATGCCGTCGCATGTGTCTCCTCTCTGCTCCACACAGTAAATCAGCAAATGTGATGAAAAGTAGAAATTCTGAATGTAGTAGGACCCCCCAGTCATGTAAAGACAACCACTTAAAGCAAACAGAACAAAGTGTCGCTTCGCAAGGTAGATGCCAATGATGGGAGGTTGTTACCCTCTTCTGCTGTAAAATTTCTACTTTTCAGGTTCCCAAGAATTCCCAGGGGTACATTTAATGCTAGTAACAACAACAGCAAAACCCTATAACAAACAAACAAACAAAAAACAACCCCTATTTGTTAAATAAAGGCAGCAAAGAAATTGGAAACCAATGAACTTATACAGGCAAAAGTGCTCGTGGCCACTCGTGTCAGAACGCACACAAACTACCATGAACCCATGCATAAGGACATGCACCTTGGACCATAGCTGCTGTCTAAATTTTACTCGGGATGAGAGAAAGCAACCCCTCACCAGCAACAAGGGGAAAAGTAGTTCATCTTAGAAGTGCTGAAATTCTGAGAGCACTAAATGATCGCATCTTTGACTTTGACAGATGCTAATGACAGAGCTAATGACGCCAAGCCCTACCCAAAAGAACTTATTGTATGTGGAGGGTCAGATTTCATCCTGAATCACAAGCAAGCTAAACACAATGAAAGTAGGAATTGTGGGTTTTTTGAGCAAATTGTGTGTGTGTGTGTGTGTGTGTGTGTGTGTGTGTGTTAGACAAATCTTGGGAGCAGTTTTCTCCTTTCACTGTGTGTGTTCTGAACATGGAATGCAATCATCTCACTGGCCCCAGCTGTTGCTTTTTATAGTCTAGCATGTTCTGCAACAGTTTTTGAAGTAAACGCCTCACTATTTTTACTGATCTTGATGATAAAAGGGCACATGTGTGGCTGTGGGTGAATATGAACTCAGAGGAAAATTACACCGGACACCATCACCAAGTCCAAGTTATTACAATTTAGTCTAGAATCACTTTTATAAACAATTTAAAACATTTTGGCATTCTTAGCCATAATCTGTTTTATTCTCTCCCAAGTGCTAGTTAGTAATTTTCTGGACCGTCAACTAAGTGCTCAGTAAAATTTATCCTTGGTTCACATTAGTTGGAATGATAGTTTAAGAATTATCAATTACTTCATTTTTGATGAATTCTTAGATTTTTTTTAATAAAACTCAACCAACTTCATTTCTCAGTTCAGCCGTTTTGAATTACAAAAAGGCAAAAACATGGCAAGGCTTTTACAAGGGGATTGGCTTTGTTTTTCAACATTCTTATAATTCAGACAGGCAAAAAAATAATCTTTGATCTTGAAGGTTTGGAAATTCAAATACCCCTTAAGGCATTTTTGTGTTTTTCAACTTAAGGAAGAGTGAAAACAGTATTTGTAATGGAAAAATTTGTGCCACTAAGTACATAACAGTTTTTACTTGATTCTGTAACTCAGCCCATGGATTTAAGATTTTGGCCAACAGAAACTGTAACTGTGATATATAACATAGTCCCAAATGCGAGTGATATCCCAGAGTGAAGGAAAAACAGCTGTAACCAACCCAGAATCGGGGTGGCTGGGCAGAGGAATCGTGGCAGGACAATGTCTACATGACAAATGTCAGAAGACAAAGCAAGGTGGATCTC